TCGCCTTAGGATTGCCATAAGTTGGAAACAACTTGAAGGCACACAACATACACATAAGGGACTACTTTTTTTGGTAACAGGGGCATAATAAAGTTATTTTTCAAAGGCAATGCATTAAGTGAGAATGAAGTCATTTTATTGGTCTAAGAAGCAACATCTTGCATCTGAGGAAGTAGACTGAAGTCTACGAAAGCCCATGCTGCCAACTTCTTTTTTTCAGTTAGTCTCAAAGGTGTTACAAGATCTCTCTACGTACTGATTCTACACACTAACATCTTTGAATTCATCTCCTAGTGATGTTTCCATGTTATTTTAAGAGCCTCTTTCAGATTTTGTGCCTTTCTTGTATGTCCTCTGCCTTGCAGTAGCTCTTCAGCTCAGGCCAAGGTCTTTCCTCTTCCTTTCAGCCTGATCTTTTCAACTAAAGATTCCAGGAATTTGAACCTGGGTCCTCCTGCATCCAAAACATGTGCTCTATCATTAAGTTAAAGTTCATCAAAAGCTTGAAGAAAGTTGCCTTTTTGACTATGACACTCATAATCCCCCAATCATCATGGATTCTGGGAGCTGCCATCCAACAAAGAAACTTTTCCAAGCTATTCCCCCTTTGCCAATTTTACAGAAACAATTTCCTTTTTGTAATCACTTCTGGGCTGGAAAAACATTTTAGGAGCCAGCATGACAGTTTTTGGAGTCAGGATTTTCCAGCTTCTGTTTTTATGTTTCTTTTTTATGATCGACTCTTTTGTGGTTAAGAGTTGACAGCAGCATTGGCACCCTCTCAACTGTTAGCTAACCTATGGTATATTTATTTTTTTCATATCTCTGTCATAATCCATTGCCCCTCTCTCTCTCTCTCAGTGTATGATGTTCTCTTTTTGGAATGTCAAAGTACACAGATGGATCTTGCGTTAGGGCAGAGCATTCAGCCTGGGTCTTGTCTCCAGAGGATTTCATTGAAAGACCAGATGACCAGATTTGGTTATCCTAACCTCCTCAACCAAATGCTGGACTCTGTGCTGGACTACCAATCCATTCATCTCAGTGTCTTTACTGGCTGGGGTTGATGGATCATATAGTTCAACACATGGAAAACACCAGGTTAGGGAGGCTGATGTACTTTGCAGGCCAAAAAGATTTGTTGTTATTAACTGCCTTCAAGTTGACCTCGACTTATGGTGACCCTAGGAATGAGACATCTCCAGGGCCTCCTATCTTCAGGTCTTGCCAACTCAGGGCCATGGCTTCCTGTGGTCTTACTCTTTTTCTACTGCCTTCTGTCTTACCAAGCATGATTGTCTTTTCTACTGGGTCATGTCTTTTTATGATATGACTAAAGTATGACACCTTAAATTTAGTCATTTTGGGTTCTAGGTGGTGTTCAGGCTTGATTTGTTATGGGATCCATTTATCTTTCTAGCACTCGGTGGTGTCTGCAAAACTCTTCTCCAGCACCACATCTTAGATGAGTTAACTTTCTACCTGTCATCTTTCTTCAGCATCTAGCTCTCACGATCATGCATAGTGATGGGAAACACAATGGCATGGATAATCCTAATTTTAGTATTCAGTTATATATCTTTGCACTTCAGGATCTTGTCTAGTTCCTTCATAGCTGCCCTTCCAAGTCATTCTGATTTCTTGACTGCAGTCTCTGTTCTCTGATCAGTGATTGAACTTAGGTATGGACAAACTTTATTTCTAGAGGCCAAAGAGATATTTAACTTTAAATTCCTGCTTGGCTGGGAAACTCAATGCATGGCCTTCTAACCTACCTCATAAGGTGCTTATAAGGATAAAGTAATTGAGCCCTATGCTTTTTGGAGGCACGGTATGTGACAATTATTAACACTTAAAGTATGGAACTCTGTGGAGATTGGACAACCCAGTGGCCCCAAACCATGGTATCTGGAACAGGTTTTTCTAACAGACCCTTTGTTAAATGGGACATGTATTAGAAAGGATGATCCCATCAAAATCAGCAAGCTAAGTTTACTTCTGTCATGTATAGCGGGATATCAAAATTCAGAAACTCAGATCCAGCAGTAAAAACTCAGGTACTTTTATTAAGAAAACTTATGGATCCAGTCTGGTGACTTTCATTGTCAGAACCGGCCAGCAACTGTTACAATCACATAATGAAATTGCACACAATTCCAACATCAGGCGGGCTTAATTAAAATTCATTGAAATTAATGAACACATTTCTCTTGGTTTTCCCATACCACTCCTTTGTTTTGTTGTTAAAGCCATAAGCTCTCTCATTCCAATGATCTTGGGCATGCTTGCCTCCTTTCCAGTCTTATTTCACCATCTGGACGTAGCTCACCCAACTTAAAAACAGTTCTCAAACATTCCTACAACATGCTACAATTACTACATAGCCCATTATTACATTGTGGCAGGACAAAGCATAAGCAACTCCAGACAATTTTGCCTGTTTTTGTGGGTGATGGGGGTTATAAACTGCCCAGAAAATTCTGGTTAATTCAGCAGCATCAATGTGCTGTAAATATATCCCATTTGTCAACGTAGGAAGCTGTTTTACCAACTCAATTCTCAGTCCATCTGGTTTAGTATTGTCTACTCCAACTGGCAGCAGTTCCCTGGGGGCTTGGGCAGCTTTTTCCCATCACTTGCAGAGCTGGGAAATATTATTTGGAGGGACTACAACTGCATTGCCACGTTGCATTCCTCCAAAGATTCTGTCGGATTGCATCCCCCCAAAGTAATTTGTCAATATTCAGCACCTGCTATGAAAGCCAGTGTGGCGTAGTGGTTTGAGTGCTGGACTATGACTCTGGAGACCAGGGTTTGAGTTCCACCTCGGGTGTCAAACCCATTGGGTAACCTTGGGCAAATCACATGCTCTCAGCCTCAGGGGAAGGCCATGGCAAACCTCCTCTGAACAAATCTTGTCAAGAAAACCCCATGATAGGTTTGCCTTAGGTTTGTCATAAGCTGGAAATGACTTGAAGGCACACAACACACAACACATAACACACACATTGGTGCCATTAACCAGAAGTACTGGTTCAATTAAAGATGCCAGCAGAGTTGGATGAATATATTTAGCTGCTTGAGGCAAAAGCCAGGAGAGCATCTCCCTTTTCTGGACAGTCAATTGAACTTTTACTGCAACACTTAGGAGGATGGAATAGTATCTCCCACCATGCCTGAAGGATCAAGGTATTTTAAGAGATGCAGGACATGTTGCATTGTTCCTTTACTTTCTCTTCCATCAGAAGGGGGAAATTCAGCTCTAGTAGCCTCCCGCTGCCCCCTACCACTAGTCTTCCACCCGAAGCTTTCTCCCTTAGGATAGGGCCAGCCCTGGATGCTGGGGGGTAGAACATGGAAAACCTCCTTATGCTAACTAAAAGCATGTGTTTTGATGCTGAACTGAGTAGTGAAGTGTGTATATGTGTGTTTGTCTTGTATCGCAGCTTCTCCTAAATTTATTTTCACGTATCCTGGGAAATGCTCAGGAAAACTTACCTGACATCCTGCGGCGGTTATCCCACCACTCTAGATTAAAAAGGAACCTTTTAAATGCACTGGGATCTGGAGGCTCTGTCCACAGCCTGCAAGGTTTACTCAAGGTAACGCATGCCTGTCACTCTGTATTATGATGTATATATAATTATATATGATTCTTGTTTTAAATTTTTCTAGTTTAATTCTGTCTTAAGGGGTGGGTGGGATGGGTGGAGGGATTGGGATACTTGATCGTATTTTAACTATTGTATTTTTAATTGCTGTGAGCCGCCCTGATTGCTATGCAGAGGGGCGGGATAAAAATAAAATTTATTATTATTATTATTATTATTATTATTATTATTATTATTATTATTAGTTACTGGGAAAGAAGGAGTGGGTTGCATAGTTTGCTTTTCTTTTCTTTTTTAAATCTTCTGCTGGGGATTGGGCAAAGCTTGGGAAAGTTACCTTTTTTGGACTACAGTTCCTAGAATCCCAGATTCTTTAAGCTTCTGTGTGGAAAAAAAATACTTTTCCAAGCTCCAAGATCTTAGTCTTTGTATTGGAGTGCATGTTTTGATTCTTCATGGGACTTATTCATAAAATCATAGGATCGAGCGCAAGTGAATGGAAAGTGACTTCTGAAACCTTTTGAGACTTGTGGTATCTTTTGGGGGGAAGGAACTTGGTGCAGAGAGTTGGCAATGGAGACATTAATTGAACAGGATCGTATCAGTTTTTTGCAAAAGAATGATTATAGTCTGATTTGGATGTCACAGTAAGCCAGGGATTCAGATAGTCTTCTGTCTGTCATGAGTTTAACACAAGGCAAGGTGAGAATCCTGCAGCCCTCCAGACTTATTTGGAATATAGCCAGCAGTGTAGGATGCTGGGAATTACAATCCATCTTGAAGGCTGCATGATTCAACCCCAGTTTAGCGTGACATGTAAATCTGACAATCACATGTGCTTTGGCTTGTTACCCTGTATGCAAAGGAACAAATTTCTGCTATAAGCCCTGAATTCTTTTGTTGGTTTATTGGGGGAGGAACAAGCCAATGTGTCTTCTGTTGCTAATGCTGCTAATGTCATTGAGCATCAGGCTAAATGCACTATGGACCAAAGTCCACGGTTTACTTAGCGGCTCCCATTGCAAACAGGAGCAATGGGGCATTGGGAGTTAGCACTGTGACTCATTCTCCGTGAGTCATCATGCATGGCATCCTGGCTTATCATGGCCTCTGAATATAGCCAGGGTTCAGTTTCAACATGGACTTTGTTTTGATCTTGCATCTTGCCACCTCATGGATGATGAGATCAGGAGGATACTATATTTCATTAGTGAAATCAGCAATGGGAGTTGTGTGGAACTCCTGATGCTCCTGGATTGCAATTTATAGGACCTCAGTTGGCATAGCATGCTGGGAGCTGCAGTTCAACAGCCTCTGGAGGGATGCTAATTCCTAGCCCAGATTGAAAATGTGCACATCCTGCTCTTCAACTCCCCGAGTAACCTACAGATCCATAAAATCAAGAGAGACTCTATCCCATGAGCATGACAAAGAAGGAAAGAAAGGTGGGGAATAATGAGTCTACATTATTCTTATCTGCTGCAACGCAGCTGTAATGCTATCATGGCTGTAATGTAGCCTGGCATGTAACTGATCACAAATGGTTTGAATAGAGTAGCCCGGTTTCTTGTCTTCTTCTGATCGAAAGGCTACTGGATACTGTTATTTGTCTTTTGATTTGAGTGATAGACAGGAAGCCCTCTGTGCAAATCCTGGCCAGTTCTCCCAAAACAAAACACAATGCTTTCTAACAGAACACGTAGTTGTCCTGGCTGCATCTTAAGGAATCCTAGAATTTGCATGCCAGTGGTGTATTTACAAGTCTTTGGTAGAAAGATATACTGCACTCCCCTGAAATACAAATACCCCGATTTAATCATTCATCCCTCTTCTCAATGTATTTTGGAAACTGTTGTTCAGAAGAGAGCACCAGAGCTCTCTAGCAAAGAATTCTAACCGTGAAGTCGAAGGTTTTCATGGCCAGCATCCATGGGTTTTTGTGGCCTTTTCAGGCTATGAGGCCATGTTCTAAAGAATGTCTTTCTGACGTTTTACCTGCATCTGTGGCTGGCATCTTCAGAGAAGTTTCTACAGTGCAGTTTTAAAAAAAAACAATTAAAATAGCCACAATTAAAACAATATAATTTTTATTTTAAAACATACAGAAATTAAGAAGTAAATAAAACACACACACCAATAAAAAAAAAGCTTGCTTATTAAAAGCCTGCTGAATCAAAAAGATTTTAAAGTAAACTACTTTGAGTCCTGACCTGGGAAAAGAGACACAATATATTTTTAAAATTATTTTTATTGTGGACCCTTAGTATCCATTGGGATTTGGTTCCAGGACCCTTCATGGATACCAAAATTCATGGATGCTCAAGTCCCATTAAATATGGTCGATCCTGCTCACATTTAGTTGAACATTTGGAAAGGAGTGGCATGGATTGACTGATTGAATCATGCTACCTCAGTATTCATCACATATGTGTAGACAACACCATGACAATATAATTTTAAGCCTTATTTTCTTCAGTCCTCAACACTGTATGGCTATTAGGCTATGACATGCTCTTTCAAAGTGTAGATGTCTGACTGAAAAACTTCTTTGAAGATGTCATGAAGAATATACTTGCTGGAAGCAAGCCATAACTCTTTTTTTCCCCTTTTTTGCACAGGGAAAAGTAGATAAAGATAAGAACATCCCTTTCCAGGAAGATCAGAAAACAAGGTACTCTGAAAGCTTGGGAAAATCCACCCAGGTAACAAAGAGCCAAAAAGAAGACTTGGTTGAGAAAAGGCACGCCACTTCAGTCGAAGAATCTGTTCTCATCTCCGATAAATGCAAACTTCTAAAACGAAAGCACTACTCTCAAAATGCCCCAAACATTGACCCACCTAACAAAATGATGAAAAGGGGTAAGCTGATGTGGGGCTTCATTTAGAATTTAGATCCGATTGTCTTCCCAAACTCACCAATGCTATAGCTAAATGAAGAATGCAAAATGAGGTACATACTTACAGGGGGTATTTTTAAAGTATCTGAGCAAGCCTTCGTAAGGAATTGAACACAAACCCAGGATGGGGAGGGTTTGGGATATTGTTAGATTGCATCTTCCAACATCCAACACCATCAGCTACGATGGTTAGGGCTGGTGAGGATTGCAACAACTTCTTAAGGGCCATGCAATCCTCCTCCCTGACTTATACCATAGTTGTTTTTTATTTGCAGAGTACCACATTGCTCAGGTACAACATAGGGGAGGGAGCATTCAAAATGCAGATTTTCCCTGTGCTCCAAAGTGGTACAATGCAGAACCCACCCTACCTACCCATTCCCATTCTGCAGCTTCATAACTGTGCTTTATCTGATATGGGGGGGAATTATGTGAACTCCTCAGAACAAATTATAAAACTTTGGATTTGCATTCTTGATTCTAATGCAGAAAAATGTAAAATGCATAATTTGCCACCCTTCATTGGCGTGGGTTATCCCTCCCCTTTAGTATGGTTGTGTTCAGAGTTCTGGTGGCCAGTTCATTCATCCACTGGCCAGGCTTCTGGTGATGAACATTCCTAACTTACACAATCTGCCATTCTAGTGGTACTCAATACTATCAGTCTGGTGGAACCTGACAGAGCTTTGTCTTCAAGAAGCCAGGGTCACCTCCACACCACAAGAGGTTGGCAACAATAGGACTTTGTGGAGATGAAATGCATCTCATGAACCCTTTGTGAAAAACTGGGTGACTTCTTGTGGATGTCCCATAGCTAAGCCCATATGTTTGGTGCCAGCACAGGAGTTGCTGTTGTGATCTCTGTGACATGTGCATATTTCCATTCCCTTTTTTTAATAGATGCAAGTGTTGACAAGGGATCTGATCCTGGGAGCGGTGTTGGGTTTCAGCTTGTGGATCCATCTGACCTGGAGTGCTCTTTGTGCATGAGGTATCCGTTCTGTTCTTATGAGTGGGCCAGAGGAATGGCGTTTATCCCTTAATGGTGGTTAAAGGATCATGGGTGAATTGTAGGTCCATGCTCTCCAAGTGGTGAAGCATTTTGGGAGATTAACTAGCTAAGATGTCCAAGAGGCCACTTTCTTCTCAGAGAGGCAGTGTGGGCAGAAGAACCTTTTGCTATTCTGTGTTGACTTTGCTTTAGGAAGATGGTTACAAAAGAGGGTTCGGTCCTTCCCTTGCTTGTCCTACTGAAATAAAGTGAACCTACATTCCAAAGTAGTGGTTTCTGCCTTTTCTGGAACCCAGAGAATTTCCTTTATGAA